CATGAAACTAACGTTAACGCAAGCTTCGTTTTGCTAAAGCTTCTTTTTACGAAAGCACAGATTAAAGCGAGAAAGTCAAAATGTCTCAACTTCAGATTGTATCAGCGTCAGACAATAAGAATCCGAAAAATGAAGGATATCCTAGTAGCATAGTTCGATCGCATTTTTGGATTTTGGGTATTTTGATATAACTCTAATAACTTCCCAATGAAAAGTAAAAGAAAATTAAGGAACTCAATTGCGATGAATACGAGAAGAACACGTTGCAGCAGCTCATACTCCCATACTTGCCATGCGACTCGTTCCTCGATGTATATGGGTAGATAGCGTATAAGGTATTTAACGTGTATCCACATAGTCGCAAGACGTATATGGGAATGTGTCCAAATCGTGACCTGTAGCGTCTGCAGTGCCTGTAGCATCTCTTCATGCTCATTCTATGGCGGTTGGCGCGTGCCTCCTGCGAGCTGTGTCGTGTCTCTCTTTCTCTCTTTTTCTCACGGCAGTTACCTCGCCGAAGACCACGACGAATACATGCATTATAGACCAGTATTTTTTATACCTTAGCTGCTGTAAGCTAGATACATTGTGAACTAATTTTTTTTTATACGGCTTTTAAATCTGCAGGCTTAAGTCCGTAGGCTTACACTTAATCTAATTTCACCCCGGCACTTCTTGCAGTAATATAAGTTAAATTTTAAACCTTTTCAAGCCGTTCGGCTTTATCGAATAGAATTGCACGCTCGGTTTGAGTTGGTCGTCACGTGCTCGTGACAATAAAATGACGATCATTGAAAAAAAATGGAACGATTCTCTGTTTGCCGCCGATGATTCGACGAAGACTCGACTGAACGAATGCGATTGTTGAAAAAAATAATTCGTATAAATTATTTCCGAGAGCTTTTCTGTCATGTTTGCTGAAAGTTGAAAATTTCGCGATTTATTGAAAGTAGGGAGAACATCGCGACGATTCGCTAACATTAAATAGCGTAGGATAATGTATCACTGTGCAGTCGAATTCGTCGAAGGATTCAACTATTCTGCCGAAGCGAATTAAACTGCCCCGAAGAGAGGAAAACTTGTGCGACTCCGCGAACTCGAGTGCCAGGCGGTGGCGGGATAGCGAAGAAAAAACACTCGGAGAAATTCGGTTAGCCAAGCGAGATAGTCGGGCGAGTTTGTGTATAATGGAAAAAGAGAGGGACGCATAATAGGTATAGACCGTAGACAGTCATGACTATGGGCATGGATATATGGGGTATTGGGAGTGTGTGCAGGTATAGGTATGGCCATGGGGAGTAAATGGCAGCTGCGCCGTGTCTATATGGATGTTTGCGAGTGTATGGTGTATGTGCTTGCATGGTGTGTTATGTGTACGCCAGAGAGAGAGAGAGAGAGAAAAGCACAAGGGGGTGCGGAGCAGACGTGCCAGAGGGTAGTCATGGTAACCGAGAGCCGCGAGTTGCGCTGCTCCGAATATAGCCGCATTTCTCCGCGAGGCATGCCTCCGTTGGTCGCTCGGTCGGCTGCTGTTGTTGCTGCTGCTGCTGCTGCTGTCTCGGGCCGGCTATCAGCCTGTGCTCGCCCAGCAGACAGCGTAGGCACGGCCAAGCGAGCAGTCGACCTTGCCTCTCGTTCGTGGCCCATTAGTCGGAGCAGCAGCAGCGGCGTCACCCTCGTGCGTGGCAAATCATAACATCGTATCGCCGCGTCGTATCTGACGCGCGAGTGCCTCGGTGCAGTTACATTATTACCCTTTGGGGCCGTCGGGGCTCGGGTGACTCGACGGCGGGGTGGACGAACTATACCTCGGCGTTTAGCGTGGGTCTCGCGAATAACGCGCAGACAGAGACTGCTGTCTATTAAAAATTCGCGTTCGTTTTTGAGGTGCGCGCGTGCAGTCGCTCCACTCCGTTCATTGATCACTACTACTACTACATTCTACTACTATATATTGTAGTGCTAAACATAATCATCGGTCTTGCGTGTGCGTAAACTCACCGGTTGTGCGCCTGGATTGTATCGCTCCAGAGACTCTGCGATCGACGAAGCTGGGCTCGTGTCACTGGCTGTTTTTGATGTTGTTGTTGTCGTTGCTATTACCATCGGCCATCGTCGTTAGTTGCTCGCGATGCTCATTCTCGCGACGCTGCTGCTCGTGCACGATCCAAGCTCGCCGAGCATCCCGGGCGGTTCGGTGTCACGCGCACTCCGAGCGGCAAGAGCCGACGATCAGCTCGCGGCTGCGACGACTGTGTGGCACGAGCTCGATAAGTCGGCACGTCTATAGTGAAGCCGACGCGCCTACAAAACACTCGAGCTTCACGCTAGTTACTCGATGTTGGCTTACAGCTACGAGGATAGGTCTACGCGCGCATATGGGTGGGCGGGTGGTGCCGAGCAACTATATCGGCGCTGCTGCACTTTTACTACGTACATAGCTGCAGCTTAATATCTATCTCTCTCTCTCTTTCTCTTTCTTTTTCTCTGTGTACTGTAAAACTAATACGTCGACACTCGTGTACCGTGTATGTGTGATTAGGTGCAATGAACTGCTTCGGCTGGGTTGTTGCCTCGCCGCCGACGCCGCCGCTGCCGATGTGACTCTGCGATGCTCCGCGTGCACTCGAGCTATCTCTCGGCAAACAACCGACCCGGACGACACTTCGCACAGCCCTCGCGACAAGCACAATCCGCTCGCGTAAACAAAGCCAACTCGTCCGACTCGCCGCTCTTCTTGCCATCTATTTTATGTCTGCGCTGGCCGTTTCTTTCTTTTGACTATGCGATGCTCTCCACTGCACGTTGGCCCGAACGAGTCGGCCGCTAAGTTCCTGAGAGTGCAGTCGGACAAACGTCCCCCGCTGATACTGCTGCCGCCGTCGTAAACCTCCCACCCACCCTTGGACTCAAGAGCCCTGCATTGTGTTCGAGCCCCCTTCCTCCCACCATCCAAGTAGTGCCCCCTTCGCGCCAGCTCGTGCGGTGTGTGTGTGTGCCCCCCTCGAACCCCGCCGACCCGCGACCATTGAGCCTAAGGAATCGTGCCAGCGACCGACCCTGTAGTATCGTGTATACGACTGCGCGCCATTGTTATCATAGGTTGTAAAGTAGCTTGACGTAGGTACCTATTTTTTCCGCCTTCCCGAGGTACGATTTTCACCCGAAAACATACGCTACTGGACGATACGGACTTGGATCAGTACTCCAAATCCTATATTCAGCCATTCTACCCGTTCATCAGATTGTATTATAGTTCTCAACTGCACTTGCGAAACTTATGACACTCGAATTACCCTGACTTTCCATTGTCCTAATTGTTTTACGATATCTCATTCGTATAATCTATTTTATACATGAAGTTACAGCACGTAAAACTGATAATGTTCTACAGTTCACAGTTTGAATTTATTTTTATATTTATGCTTCCTGTCTCTTAAAGTTATTTTTTGAATTATTAAAACTGACTAAAAATATATTCGTTGCAAGAAGAGAAACGGCAACAATAGAAAATTAGAAAAAAGGCAGAGAGCTGGCTACAAATGCTTGTTGGCATTATGACTAAGAGATAAAAACCATCGTATGTCGCGTGCCGCAGAAATACCTCGCTAATTAAAACAGCATAGAAAAAATAACAACTAGAAACTTTTAATTAATTTTCAACTAATATTTCAAGATTTTTTTAATATAAACAAAATATGAAGTTACAAAATATGAAAAAAATGATTTTCTGACATCGTTTGTCACCAATTCTTTTGCATTTTCGATTAATTCTAGTTACCATGACCAATAAATATCTAATTTCTTACTGCGTGTCAAAAATCGGTATTGAATTTTAATGTTTAAAAAGTTAATCATTTATATTTAATACGGTGGAAAAAAAACAAAATTGGAATTTTGTCTCTAAAATAAAAATTAATTCAATACTCCACGTTTTAATTATCAATGTTGCATCAATCGTATGCCGAACTCGTGATGGGATCTCGTAGCCTAGCGGAATCTCTCACAGACCTCAAACAAGCGAAAAAAGCTTCAACCTTGCCGTCAGGTAAGAACAGATGGACGTTTTAAGAGGTATAGGTGCAAATGAAATGCTCTGCTACGAGATGAAAGAGTCTGGTCTTATTTGGGCGTAGGAGGTATTCCGCGCAATAATAATCGCCGAAGCGAACGCCGAGGTGCAGAAATGCTCGTTGGGATTCGCACCCTACCGCAACGGGCATATATACCCTTTTTTGAACGTCGTCGAGCTTGAAAGCTCTACTCGTATATATACGTCTGCACATCTAACAAAGCTTTTGAGGTGCGCTCGAGTATACCGAAATCATCTTGACTACTTGACGCCTTCGTGCGCACCTATCTTCTTTGTCTTAGTTTCAGCCAATGAGCTTTGCCTGCACGAGCCGATCCGTCGCTTGCTTTATTGGATGAAACACTATAGCAGACGTTCTGAGCTGATGGAAAAAAAGAAAAAGCTCTTTCTGCAAATGCGTACTTTTAATACAACTATTTCAGCAATTTTCAATATTTCTTTGAAATAATACATGAAATAATACAAGAATAAATAAAATTTTTGTAGAACAAAGTTCTGAGCTGTGCAAGGCGCAAGCCAACTTGATTAAAGTCATCGATAACGATTATTTTGAAAGTAAAATTGTGTTCAACTTTGAATTGACAATATTTTTTCAACACAAGTCTTTATAATTAGTCTAAATAATCTTCAGTTATATTAACATTATATTTGTTATAACCCAAATGAAACTTTCATTGAAGATTTCTCTAAAAGGCTCTATGATGCCTTGAAGAATCACGGTGTGAACATCGCCGTCATTTAGAAAAACATTTAGTAGATGTTTCAGAAAATAGAATTTAAAATTCGGTCAATAGAAAATTCTAAAAATATATAAGTCTACTAAAGGAAGTGATTGATGAAGTAAAGAGGAATTAATGATATTAAAATACTAAATTGAAATTTTATGCTATTAAACTAGACAGCAGGGTCTATTTCGTACAAACAAATATATTCAAATATTTACAAACAACAAAAAATACACATACGAATGACTAATTAACATTAATGATAAATTAAAACTAATATATACACAGAATTAAAATGTACAGAAAAAATACTGATTCTTAAAAAATACGTATTCATAATAAGCGCATAAATTTTTGAGCAATGAGTAATACTGCAGTGCGACTCAAGGTATAGACTGAATTTTATAAGATACAAAATTATACCTGGAGGGAAGTTATCGCTTTAAATTTTTCTGAATAATTATAATTCTATTTGTCTTCATTTAGAAAAAATACACTATTTATACAGGGAAGACAGTTCATTTAACCAATGAACATTATCAATCATTATCTCAAAAAATCATATGATATAAATTTTTATAATTTAAAATCCACTTTTTGAATATCCTGATGCGGATTGTGCAGTCTTTGATATAATTCTCTCGCACCTTTTGTTTGATGCAGTAATGTTTTTTTAAAGCACACTGTATAAACATTAAATAGGCTCAATCGAAGTCATAAAAATCGTTAATTCAATGTTATAACATTATTAACTTGTCTACAACCAATAAGGTTTGATTGTTTCGTTAAATTTTAATAAATGAAACATTGATAAAAAATCGTGCATGAACTCAATCATAATTATACAAATAAACGATTTTTAAAGTTACAAATTGTGATGTACGCTAATTAAATTTTTTAAATGTGTGAAATTAATCGTTATAATTAATATAGATTAATTTTTGCATGATTTAAAATATATCTTCAACAAATAAAAATTAAAAACTTTTGTTTTAAATGTAAACACTCCACTAATATTTGGATTTCCTATTGTCAAGATGCTACTATCTCGAACTATTAATTCTTAAAACTAATTTATTGCTATCCTTTATCGTACAATCTTTTGCATTTCGGTCTATAGTAGTTGCCATTCTCTAGTTACAATAAATTGAGGGTAAACATTTTTGCTCAATATTTGAAGATAATAATTATACATACATTTTCGCTACTGATTTGAAGCCTAAGTAATACTGAATGTGTTATTTTCGCGCAAGATCACTATAATAAAAAAACAAATTCAGCTTTAATTTAGTTTTAATTTTCTAAAAAATGTTCATTATATGTATCTCAATTTTTGGTTTCAAATTAAGTTTTTTAAATTAAGATTTTTTTAAATCCTTAAACTCATGACTTTCATGATAAAGTGAAATAATATCTTTCAAGATGAAAATGCTAGGTATTATAGAATTCTCTGATAATTAGTGTTTAGAGATAACTTGTAAAGAGCAAAAATATTCTCATAATTATGTGAGTGAAGTACTTCTGTCGACGTTGTGCAGTAAGACAAATTTAATGAACTCACTAACACTAAATTTCTTTAATTAAAGTGATGGATTCGTTACAATAAAATAATTTATATTATATGTGTGTGATATTCATCTTTGACTTGAATGATGATGAATAAAACAAGTTTTTCCCAATATCAACTCACGCGAAACTTCATATAAGTAACAGCTACATTTTAAACTAAAAAAACTTACGAGTATTTTTACATTTTTTGTTAGAATCATCTGATAGTTTTACAGCTTTTCATCTTCTCAGTAAAGAAAAAAAAGGTTAGCAGCAAACAGGAACACGATACGAAGTACAAAGTTTATCAATTCAAATTGATGCTACCGTTTTCTTTTCATGCCCTTGCGATAACCCTTACCAAACCATCCAGGATTTTTAACTGCAGCTGGACTCGGAGTATTTTCATCTTCATTTATCATTTTTTCTGATTTATCAAGATCATCTAATTGTGACGGTTGATTTATTGGACTATCATCATCATATTGTTGATAATACAAACAAGTGAGAGAACCTTCGTGCTCCATGCAAAAAGAGCATGCTGCCTCTGGCTCAGGCTGATAGATTTCTTGTTTTATTTCAGTTACTTGATCAGTTTCAACTTCATTTTCGCTTTCGTTTTTATTTATTTCTAATGATTGTGTTGGAAAGTGAACAAAAGGTTGATAATAAATGAGTGGAGATAATTGAGGATAAATAAACATGGGTGGAAAAGGCAAACCCATTGAAATAAATGGAAGTGCTGTAAAGTATGGGGCTGAATATCCAGAGACAGGTTCTTGTAACATGATTACTGGTAATTCACAATTTTCTTGATTATTAACCTCTTCATTTTTAGCATTGAGTTCTTCTGTCGATATATTTTGTCTGAAAGTAATTTTTTTCATAGATAATCTTAAATGAACATGTTTTTTAATTAAAAATAGATTTTAAAAAAATTAGATTGCACAAATGTGCAAGAGCGAAATAGTAAATATCACAGCAAGTGTTTTACCATATATTTTTTAATACCAATGGCTTCATACCCTAAAACTAAGAAATAAAATTTCTGTTTAGCACAGCTGGGAAATACTACTTCGCCCTGCCAGTATAAAAGAGTAATTGCATAAAATAATTTACTTACTCATTGATAGGCGAAACAACTTCTTCCTTATTATGTTCAGAACTGGATATGCTTTGTATTACTTCTACATCACTACTAACATGTTCATCTTGGATACTTTCATCAGTTTCATTTGCAACCTCTTGGTTTTCGTCTTTCAATTCTTCTTTCTGTTCATCAATCATCATTGGAGCTTCTAAAACAGGTTGGGAGGTAGTAGTTAATTCACTACTATGTAATCTTATTGCATGATGAAAGATAGGATCCTTATTGCGGTCATAATTGGGAATATCAATTCCTAAGTGTGACATAACTATCTTCATGACTTTATCACATTTTCCATTTATTTTAAGAGTTGCAGTTTCATCTTTGGGAGTCCACTGAAGGTTCACAATATATAGTTGAGCTCTTTTCGCTGCTGGCTTATCCATTTGCCATAACCATGTGTATTTTTTTAGTACCTGTCAAATTGTTGTATGTTAATAATAGTTCGACTGTTTAAAAAATATATAGAATACTAACTTTTAAACTAGATCCTAAGCATAAAATTACATCAGCTTGCTTCGAGGCCCTGCTTGCACCACCCCAATTAATAGGATAAAGTAAATTTCCTCGTTCTCCAAAATGAACAATAGAGTCTTGTAAATTTGAATTGCATTTATAACATTTGCGACCAGTTGCGTGAGCATAACGAGCAGTTTTTTCTGTAACATCAAATAACCGCAAGTATTCCCGAGCTGGTTTACAATTTCGACAAACTTCAACAAACATGTTTCCATGTACTTCAGAGAGAGAAGTTTTGGGTATGCCACTGCGCAAATGTAAGCCATCACAATTTTGAGACACTACATATTTTAAAATTCTAGATTTATATAATGCATAAAGTGACATATGGGTTAGTGTTGGCTCAGCTTGACTAAGATCATGGTTCCTGTAAAGTACAATAATATTATTTAATTATACAATGATTTTTAATTATTTAACAATTAAAATTTACCCTATATCTTTTCCTTGCTGTAACCGAGTCCAAACCCCATTTGTTCCTCTGTAGTCAGGAATAGATGCTGCTGTACTTATGCCAGCACCTGTGTAAACAATGAGTGATTTTGCATTGCTAATTGCAGCTGCTAGCCTAATACATTTTTCTTCCAAAACTTCAGGTGGGTCTTCAACCTCTTCTGTTCTTGCTTTAACTTTGATTCTTTTTTCTTGTCTGAAAGTCAACAATTTTTGTAAGACATATAAATAAAATATAATATAAAAATATGTATTTCATATTGATAACTTTTGTTAGAGTTTATTTAATATACCTTTTAGTTATTTGTTTGACAATGTCACTGCAAGATTCAAGAATTTCGCATTCTTCTGGTGTTCTAGCATCTTCAGGTTTGTGTAATATAGCATTCACCTTGAAACATAAACAATGATGTTACATTGTATAAAAAGAAAACAATAACAAACAACAATTGGAAAAGACAGTGTCATACTTTTTTGGTAGTAGCGATTCTTTCATCTTGAACCTTGAGAGGAACGATAGTGCACCGTCTTCTTGCCAGAGGTTTTTTTTCCTCTGGTTGTTTAATATTCTCTGAATCGGACAACATGATTAAGTACCATGAGAATCGACACTCACTCGTTAACTTGACAATTTGATATTTGTTATCATAGTAATTTAATTTGCGAGTGCAATTTTGCACATGCCATTAAATTCACTCGAATGACGACGAACTCGCGTGTCGGGTCAAAGATATCCGCACTTAATTCCTTTTGTGCATTTACGCGAGGTTTACATTTGGCTTTCTTAGTTTAATAACCTCAAAGAGTCGAATGAGCCGTGGAGCACCTGCATGGACTCGATAAGGCTTCTGCTGATCGATAAAAAGCCTTCCGAATGGCACAGCAATACTGCGCAACCACGTTTATATCACTCATCCCATTTTTCTACCAATAGCATTTTTCATCCTTATTTTCTCTTTCGTTCGACAGCTTGTGTATATGTGCGTTTACTGATCGTCGTGGGATAGCAGTAAGCAGCATAGTAAATCGCCCAGTATATAGACAGTCGAGGATGTCGCAGTGGAGTCTCGAGACAACGTTTTCAGTTGTCACAGTGACGTGAAATTTTTAGCGCTTGCGCAATTTTTACCAATAGACGCCAGACTCGATGAGCGCTGTGAATTGATGGTTCATTGACTGTCGTTGACTGTCCTTTGCGACTTATCGGCTGCAGCGATTTAAAAGCCTTTAAGTTGAAAATATTATCCGGAGTTCGCGGAACTAATAAAACTCCGAATTTTAATAGAAGCGATCAATTTTCTAACGTTAAATCATTCTATGGATTTCACTTTTCAAATTAAGCTATTTTTACACAATTCCACCGCCACTCATATCTGGAAAATAAATAAAACCGATTGATCGAGACACAGCTAACTCAGAGGCCTTCAGCAGTTCAGCTCGTATTTTTTAGCTTTTTCGTATAAACAGATCGAGTTTGATTTTCAGGTTCTGATGAACAGAGTAGCTTCTATCTTTGATAACTTTCACATGATAACAAAAAAGTCGACGTTGTCACCTTTGTTGCGATTATATAATGATAAAATTGATTTTTCTGGCTAAAATCGAAGAAAGTCAGTAAGCGAGAAATCGACATTATTCACACGACTCCCTGAAGCAATCGCACACTAATCCTGAGGCGAGTATCCTTTCCATCGAGAGAGAAGATATTTGTTCATTTTTGAAAATCTATCTTCTACATTTTGCCTACGATAAAGATGCATTTACCAGTGATTCGTAAACTTTTAAATGTTTGAATTGCTCTTATTTTTTCATTTTTCCAGTATACAACAAATATTAGCTGATCGCTCTTATGCAGTGTCTCAAAATTTTATTTTTCCACAATTTCCCTATTGGTAAAATACCCATGTAATAATTATCAGCTATTGTATTCATGGGAGACCAAAATTATTGAAGTACTTAAAAAACAAAGTACCAAAACAAAATGAACTTTAAATTGAGATCACTCAATATATAAGTTAGGAGGACTAATATTTTTCCACTCGTCATATTTTGTAAATTAATATTCCGAATTGAGATGTGATTTTCGTAACATAATGCTTATTCAATTGTTTCCGCTGAAACAAAAGTAAATAATCGTTGAGGCACGGGCATCCTAGCTCGTTTCCTTCATAATATTACCCTCTCTCTGCGCTGCAAAGTCAGTATTTGCGGATTTCGTATTAGTATTACGAGGCAACTTTTCAGACAAAAGTACCCGTTGAAGTCGTAAGGCTGAAACAACGATTATTCTCGACTCTACCCTGGATAGAAAAATGGTCAAGTCGTCGATTAAGCGATCCGTTCCAGTAGCTTCTTCCGATTACGTTATGGACGTATGCGAAGGAAAAGAAGCGAAGGTTGGAAAATCTTCCGCTGGACCAAGGCGCCAACCAACTTCGAAAATGGTCGTGAACGCAGTGGCTGCATTGAAAGAGAAGAAGGGCTCGTCCCTTGTAGCTATAAAAAAGTACATCGCTCAGACGTATCAGGTAGATACCGAGAGGCTCGGTCATTTTATCAGAAAAGCTTTGAAATCTTCCGTGGAGAAGAAAGTACTAGTGCAGAGCAACGGCTCCGGGGCCAATGGAAAATTCCGTTTGGCCACAGAAAGGACCACTGCGAAGAAAATTAGCGCGATACAAGCCGAGGATGAAGCCAATCTGACCACGCTGCAAGAACTTACTGCGTTAAAACCCAAAGAAGTGATTAGGAAACACAAATTAGCGGCCACGAAGGCGGTCGTGAAGAAAATTGCCAAGAACTCAACGGACATCGGCGCTAAGAAGAGGGTCAAATCGTCGGCACCAAAAAAGACTAAAATCGGTGGAAAATCACCGATTGCTCCCAAAACACCTAAAGCCAAGAGGGTAATTCATTAACAATGATCACAGAGATGTGTTTCGTTCGTTAAAATCGTGCATAAACAATTGCATAACAAACATTAATAATCGGCCCTTTTTAGGGCCAAAACATACACAACGTGGGGCAGTTTGTTCGATTTGACGTCTAAGCAACTATCTAACGTAAATCTTTGAAAGTTGAAAAATTTGAAACGAGAAACAGATTTTTAAAACAATCAGCTTTCAGTTGAAATTAATTGACATTTCATACAATTATAAGAGCTGCAAAACCATAACAAAAAATTTAAAAAAACGCCCTTGCAGCCATTATTTCTTTAAAATTAAGCAAAATTATTTTATAGATGATTGAGATTTGAAATTTCAGAGGGTTTCGTATGGGATTTAAAGTTGAAATATTGATATACATAGTTTATGTATAATGGATGTTACAAAATAAAACTAAATCATTTTTTTAGCGATCGATTTCACGCATCAGTTTGTAGTTTTTAATTCAAGGATCGATCGTAAAGGATAAATGGGATGAGCAAGAATTTGATTTTCTCACTCGGTGCAAACTTACGAAAGTACAGCATGTCAATGATGTTGACTGTTTTATCGTAGGTGGAAACTATTGTAAAATTTTCCTCGAGCTTGGAAACATCTCAAAGAACATTATGCTCTGTAATACGGTGTTTCTCATACGAATCTACGCAAGTGAATATTAGAATCCGATCTGGAGATTGCTGTCAGTCTACAAATTTAATACATCGACTTTCGTGAGCACAATACTAATCATTTCCAGAGTCTACGAAATCAGACGAGTCGTGGTAACGGTCAACTCGACTCGAATCGCGGCGCAGTGAGTTGCTGGGCCCCGGCGTACTTATATAGGACCGCTGGCGGCTGGACGCGCCGTGCAGGATAATTAACATAGCGAGGACGACGGACGCGACGACGAGACTCTGGCCGAGTGATCCGTGCGGTTTTGGCCATTAAGGACAATCATACCGAGTGTGCGCGTCGAGGTGATATGCCGGGATTGGAGCACAGCTTCGGCTTCTACTCGAATACATCAGCGTTAGGCCTAATGTCCGATGGTGTCGCCGCCGAGCAAGTGAAAAAGTTCTTTTTCACCTCGGGTAAAGCTCATCGGCCACGCTGTAGCACCAGTCGCGACGACGACAGCGACGATCCAGACGACCAAGACTCGGAAACTCTCGAAGTTTTCATTCCAGAGGTAATTGACAAATATACGATTTCGATTCTCTTGTTTATTTCTTCACTTCGAAACAAACCAGTCTCTTTCTTTATGCTAATAGCATACATTCATTGTGCTTATGAACGTCTTAGTTTCATTTTATTGGTTAGGTGCTATTATTACGTATTATAAAAGGGCAGCCGACAATTCGGCACGTGACGTTTACTTGCTAAATTATCATAATTTTTCTTTCGTTGCAATAACATCGAGTAATTTTTACATTTTTTATATGATTTTAGCTTCTTCAAGCCAGCTATAATTTCTATACTTGGCCTTCTGCTCCGGTATTGGCCTGGTACCTCTGGGAACATCGTAAAGAAATAGCAGGAAAGCGTACTTTGGAATTAGGTTCTGGTAAAATTCAACAACATTTTTTTTTATAAAATTTCATTTCATACGAGATTTTCTCTTTTACTTTTTTACTCTTATTTATTCTAGGAACTGCACTTCCTGGTATTGTAGCTAGCAAGTGTGGAGCTATTGTTACTTTGAGTGATTCTGCAACGCTTCCCAAAAGCCTACAGCATTTACGAAGAAGTTGTGAACTCAATGGTGTTCTTCCTCAAGTTAAAATAGTTGGAATCACCTGGGGCTTATTTTTATCTAGTTTAATAAACCTTGGACCAATCGATTTGATAATAGGATCAGATTGTTTTTACGATCCTACTGTTTTCGAGGATATAATTGTCACAGTTGCTTATCTCTTGGAAAAAAATCCTGCTGCAAAGTTCCTGTGTACCTATCAAGAGCGCAGTGCTGATTGGTCTATTGAACATTTACTCAATAAGTGGGGTCTGAAGTGTTCTCATATATCTCTAGAAAATCTTGGTTCGAAATCCGGATTAGATGTTAATGAATTGATGCAAGATCATACTATTCATCTTCTAGAAATCAAAAAAAGTTAAAAGATTAATATGGCCAGCAGAGGTGTTGCACGATTGAGAGAAACCATATTGTATGTATCTAATATTCCTTGGACTATAGGAAATAACGAACTCAAAAATTACTTCACCCAATTTGGAAAGGTTATGAAAGTCAATGTGGTTTTTGATAAAAATACTGGATTCCACAGAGGCTACGGTTTTGTATCTTTAAAGGATTCAGAAACCACTCAAACTATTCTCCAAAAAAGTAGACATATACTTGATGGTAAACCCATTGAAGTGAAAGCAAAAGAACATTAATTTGTTTTTATTTAGTAAACCTCATAGATCATCCTTTAGTAACCATGGCTGAAAGTTTGGAGTTTGAAACTTCAGATCTTGAAGAAACTTTTAATAGAGCTGCATCCCACTTGCAGTCTCTAGCTTCACAATTAGATTCTGGTCAATTATTAGGTTTTTATGGTCTTTACAAACAAGCTACTTGTGGCCCTTGTGACTCACCTGCACCAAGTTGGTATCAAATCCAAGCTAAACATAAATGGGAAGCTTGGAAGAGTTTGGGAGAGATGAATAAAGAAGTTGCAATGGCAAGTTATGTAAGAGCTGTTGGTAAATTAGACCCTGATTGGGAAAAGGATGCTCGGTCAGTGTCCAACACGTGGGTAGTAGTTAGTAGATTACCTAATACTGATGCTGAGTTAAAGGATATTGACAAAAATCTATTTGATTGGGTAAAAGATTCTAATGTTGAAAAAGTTGAAAAGGAGTTGTCAATAAATAAAAATCAGATTAATATGAAAGATGAAAATGGTATGTTACCAATTCATTGGGCTGCAGACAGAGGTGATACCAACATTTTGAAGTGCCTAATTAAAGCTGGATCAGATGTAAATTCTATTGATGAAGAAGGTCAAACTCCACTGCATTATGCAGCATCATGTGGGCATAAAGATATTGTTAAATATCTTTTATCCTGTAATGCACAATTAATAAAAGATAATGATGGCTTATCACCTAAAGATGTTGCTGATGATGCTATACTGGATTTGTTTTAAAGTATCTTATACTTTCTTTTACAAAAAAATTCTATAATGACATATTAGTAATAAAATAACTGTTAAAAGAACTTGTTGTTTTTATATAAATCACACATACCTTGAATTAATATTAACTTTAAATCAGAAATAATAGCACACCAGAGCTAATATTTCATAATGCAATATTTAAAAATGGTTAATTCAAATATGTCAACTCTTTTGACTCAGATGTTAAATGATTTGAATATGCTTTCTAGAAATTTCTATGACCATAATAAATAAAATAATATTTGAAATAATATTATTTTGACTCTATTTTCTAATGAAATAATATTACAAAATTATTTTATAGCCTTACTAATTTTTAAAAGAACTGAAAAAATTAAATGATCAAAACATCTCAGTTGAATGTCACAGGTATGTGACTCAGTAATAGTAATTATTAATTAAAGAAAATCTTTTTATTTACAAATGATAATACTCAAATATATTCACAGCCTAAGCTTCACTTAGGTCATTGCAGGCCAAACAATTTTACGACAACTTTTTTATCATAAATATAAACTTTGAATCACAAAATATTTTTTTTATTATTTAATACGATTACTTTGTTGTAGCACTATAAGTATTTGCATTGAAGTGTAAAATACACTGCAAATGATTATTACAATTCAATCGTAATTTGTCTTAAAAATGACTGTTTGGAAATTAAAAAAGACTATGCTGATGTAGTCTCTGGACATAATCACATTAAGAAAAAAGATATACTTATTTTTATAAAACCTTAAATAGTATATTTACATTTTGTCATAAAAATTGAACTGACGTAAATTCATATTCACGTTTAATGTGGAACAAAAATTGAATAAAGATAATGTAGTTGTTATGAATGTAAGAAACTCAACGTAAGTCGTTGAAGTTTTACAATTAATCTTAAATCCAATAGCAAACTTATGCTTGGCCCAACATATTAGAGAAATGCATCTCATTAATTAACTTAGAATTGATGTAATCTTTAAATGCTAGCACATTTAAACCCTGTGCGTTAGATAATAACATTGGAAAAAGAGATCGAGGCAAAATCGTCTCCTATTTCAATAAAATTTCAACACACTTATGTGATATCGCAACATTATGTTACGAAAAACAGTAGTAGGTATAAAAACTATATATTGCAAAAATACCTGATTTATATCTGAAAACATTTTTAAGTTTTTCAAAGTGAATAAGTAACATTTTTTTATGAAAAGTAGAATAATAAAAATAATTTTCATAATAAAACCTTCGAACATCCAGTTATAACATTGTCAAATATTTGATCATTATATTCGCCAAACTTCAACATAATTGACTCTTAATTTACATACAGTTTTTATAAAGACGAAATTCATTGAAGAAAGCACCAATGAACGTAATAGTAACTAAGCTTTAATTGATAAAATTTCAAAAGCCGACTTTTGCATCAAGTTAAGATTAATGATGACTTGTTCAACTTGTGTTACTAATAATGATTGAATATTCGGTATTTTCTTGCCGATAACAACTGTCAAATAATAAATTGATAAAAACCATGTACGATAGCTACAGTCAGAGAAATATTTTAAATAACCCATTTCAACCTGCATAATCGTAACAAGGTGAACGAAATAACAATTATTCCTTTTCAGTTAACCAACATTAAAGGTCACTAAAGATTAGTGCTTTCGTTATCAGACTTAGATCTAACATTAGTTGGCGGAGGTGGCGGTGGAGGCTGAGGTCTTGGAGGTCGTTGATGAAACCTTGGTGAAGCTGGTAACTGCTGCTGTTGTAAGTGCTGATGATTGAGAGACCGGTGCGTAACAGCAGTATCGCTTTGAGTCTGGACATCAACTATGTTACCTTCCGATCGCGTGCGTGAATGCGAACGTATTTGTTCGGGTAAATCTGGTCGAGGTGGTTTTTCAGGCCTGTGAAGACTGTTGGTATGGCCCACGCTCGAACCACCAGTGGTGTCGAGGTGATGTTGAGACACTGACATCGAGGCAGGCCGACTGCCTACACTAGGACTTCTTTGCAAGTTCACGTTGCCCGTGATGCTAATTTTGTTGCTGCTGTTTTCGGACGGGATATTATTTCCATTTTGTACTTGCACTACACTGACCTGCTGCAATTTTTCCATAGAATGCATTTGTGAGCGTTCGAGGGGCATTGGCTGCAGAATAAATATTATGATTAGATATAAATTAATGAGCTCATATTAAAGATAGTCAAAATATACGATTTATCTAAAGAATTACTAAGTACTAGATAAAAAAAAACCTGAAGAGTATGTTCAACATAAGCCTAGTAATTAATTACTCACTTCAAACTTTTTATAAATTATTTTGCAAAAATTTGATACTTCAAAATTTCGTAAAAAAAGTTAATTCAGAAATACCGCATTGTATTGATGAGACAAAATTACAAGTCAATAAAAATGTAGTGAAAGCAAATACTTTCCACTTACCGCAGGGCTAGAATCCAAATTTTCGTTACTAAGTCGTGGATGCGGCCGAATCAAACTCTGAGGTCGAGCAAGTCCAGCTGGTCGTTCTGGAATAGCTGGTTTACCATTTCGATCGTTCATGGTTAAGATGGATTCAAATTTTTTACGTAATTCAACATTTTCTTCTGTAAAAATTAGGATACCTGGTGAATAATTGTATCTATTTTTAGAATTAAGCAATTTTATTAAGAAAATATCTAACCTTGTTGATTCTGTGCAGAATTCGATGCAACTCGGGGAGCAGCCACGGGCTTCCGTCTTTCCAAAGACGATGTAGCTTGTACTTCATCTGATGTTTTCGCTTTTGGTGAGTCTATTTTTTCGAAACTTTCTGGTGTCATTATTGGTGTATCTGTCAATGTTACATTAAAAGATTTGCTTAACAAGTCCGCCGATGAATTATCTAATTTCTGGTTGAACATTTCAAAACCTATGTGAGTGAAATTATCAATTTCTTTACTTTTTTTAACATGATTGTCAATTTTATTGCTGGGAAAAGTAATTTCTGAATGTTGCAATTTTACTGTGTCTAAAAGATTTGATTCCTCCTGAAAAATGTTCAAGTTTAACAAAAATCTCTCTTAACATAGTAAGAATAATTAATTATTTTAATAAATGTATTATATTACCTTTGAATCATCAAATTTTTTTGGACTCTCCAAATCTATAGATTTTGTATCGCTGTCCAAGCTTCGACACATACTTTTATTCAACTTAGTATCTGTTTTATGAGGGGTTGAAGTGCCATTACTACCCCGTAATACATCAGGATTAGTTTCTTGCTTTAGAGCCTTGTGAGATGGTCGATTTAATGTCGATGTATTAACTGGCCGAGGTGGCTTATCAGGCGCAGGTGGTGGTTTGTCGTCCGGCCTCTTCTCGTGTTGAACCGATTGTTTATCTGGAGTATTGCCACACGGTGGGGTTGGAGCAGGTTTATTTTTTCTACGTGTGGCTGGTTTTGGGCTACCGTGAGTCGGACTTTCAGCATGATCACTAAGACTACTTTGCGAGACACAACGCCGTAGACCACTAGACGTTGGAGTACTCATTTCAGATCCGTTTATCATTCCGCTGATGTCTAGTTCACGATCAAAATCGACTTCACCGGGAAAGAACCAGTCGGCATATGTTATCATTTGCTCAACTATCAGACTAGAATTGTTTGCTGCATCCATACTGTTGAAATTGCAAATGGGAAAAAATTTAAGTAAAATTATAAGTAGTAGAATTAAAAGATCATTTATAAATACTAACACTACTGTTGTTGGATCCTCTTGAGAATTCCACATCAAATTTGGAGCTACCACTATTGCAATATTGTAAGGTGTCATTTTATTAATTTCTTGATTTTTTGCTAAGATGGAAAAAAATTTGATGAGGAACTTTAGATTCTCGAAATTAGGAGCTGGTAGTTTATGAAGTACATCCCACATTGTCCGAAGTCTTGAATCAGTGTGAGGAATTTTTGCAGCTGCCATCCATTCAGGATACAGTCTAGTGAACAAAATTTCAATAATCAAAACTCAACATATTTTTTTATGATACTATTTTTTCGTAAACAATTTTAAATTCAAAATGATAAATCAAGTATATTTTTTCATCTTTTAAACTGAATGATACTACTTTTATCAATACTAAAATAAAACAAATGATTTTACCCCGATAATAACGCAAGAAACATTTTTTTAGTCAAATACAAGTGATAATACATTCATGACTCATTCGCGACATTCAAATATATGTCCATACACATGTAGTAAAATTTATGTGCGTAAATATTTTACAAAATCATTTTGTCATACCAAAATTGAATTATTAAATTTTAGAAAAACCGACATTTTAAATATACCCTCTAGTACATGTACTTGAACTTTTTTTGAATTTCACATTCATATGTTTCCCATACTTTCACTAAATTATTAATTAATTTTGACTGTCTTAAAAAGGTGATATAATACTCACTTATATGTAAGTAAAGGTTCTGGTAGTTCCCGTAAATAAGACTTTAATGCTCCAGCTATCACATGAGAATCTTTATACCCTAAAGCTATTGGAAGAGTTAAGCAACAAGCATCAAAGCTCAACTTAATTCTTCTTAATTTTGAAGCACCACTGGCAATTCTAAACAATCCTTCCTCTTCCATACCCAGTCTCAGAAGAGCTGATATACATAACTGTATAGGAAAAGCAATTTTGCGGTTGGTGACTCTCAAATGTTCTTCTAAGGAGTATCCATACACTGGTTTCATTTCATTATCATCTAAAAGATGATGTTATAAATGTTACATTTTATTTGTGTTAATGTTTATTTATATTAATTATCAACAATTTTCATACTTATGTAACATTCTAAATCAGGTATTAAATCTTCAAGACAATGCAGAGCACTTTCATGGTATGCTCTCTGTAATTTAACGTACTGGATAATGGTTTGGGCAAGCTCAGATTCTCTTGACATAAGTTGGAACATTTCAGCAGCTAATTGATCTCTACATGCTTCAACTTTAGATTCAGCTTCCTCTAATTCATCTTTTAAACTGTCTACTTTGGTAGCACCAGTACCTAGGAAATTGATTATTATTATTATTATTTTTCTTTTTTAAATGATTGTGATAGATTATAATTTTAAAAATCATTGATTTCCACTCTTACTGTTATGTTTACTGGCTTGATGATAACGTGTTCGTGTGCTATCCATATCTAAGATAAGACGTTGTAGATTTCGTTTGTGCTTCAAAATATTTGGAACATCTGAATCTAAAATACTTTGCAAAGGTACTGAAACATATTGTTCAACTTTTGATTCATGATCTACAATTTCATTAGCCAAGGCAATTTGTGCTCTTCCACATTCCGTTAGAGTGTAAGTCATTAAACCTTCTTCTCCTGCATTATCCAGCATTGTTTGTCCCAAAATATATTCAGGACATTTTTTCTGAAATTAAAAGGTATCAAAATGAAAAGCCTAATACTATTTCGAAACTTGATATTTTTGAAGCATAATTCTGAAATATTTAATTTTTATATCTTTGTAAAAGTAAATTAAAAAATTTTTTTCAAATACACAAGACTATAGATAAAATATCTGAACAAAATTACATTTGAAGGTATGATTCATCAAGTGCTATGTGCAAGAGATAAATGCTGTTGTATCAAGATATTTTATAATTAAAAATCTCAACTGTAGTAAATTAAGAGAAGAAAAATACTTACAAGGCGTTTTTCTTTATGAGTATCTTCTTTAGTGGACTCACTGGACTTATTAGAAAGTCTTTTGTTGAGGCCCACAAGGGCTGCTCTAATTTGTTCAACATGTTTATCCGCTGCTTGCAAATCATCAGTAAGGACTTCAGTTTTTTCAGCTCTAAAGCATAAATTAACAATAGTGTTAAGTGCACAGTCAGAATATGAATATTAATGACTGATTAGCATTTATTAGCAAAACAAGAGTTATGATCGCTAAATACCTACAGGGAATGGATTCAAGTAGAATGTAATAATAGTGTGTTAATGTGTGGCATTTAATTGTTATTTGAAGTAAATATGGTTAACAGATATGCGATAACGTCATGCAGATACAGAGATTACTAAGAATAGAGAGAAGAGAATGAGCTCAGAGGAATATTGTAAAAGAACAAAATCTATCGAGATATGATTAATCGTGTGGCGATGTTTGTCATAAAGAAGCAGTGCTCAGTCGATCCTAGGTGTGCGCAAATGTGATAAGAAATTAATGAAAAAGAAGAAAAAAAGGAAGCACGAAAACAAGAGAAGGAATACATAAGGACCGAGTGGTGAATCACGTTAATAAAATTGAGGCATAGAATTGACGCACCTGGAGAAGGTTTGATCAGCGAGCTGCTTGACCCTGAAAAATTGTTTCTTCATGGTCGTCGGATACGTATCGCTCGATTCCGACACGGTCGAGCAAATAACGTAGGTTCATATAGAGTGCACGCAACAACACTGACGCACAACGCAAGTATTCTTCTTTCTACCTATGTAAGCGCGCGTGTGTACGTATACACGCATGTAATATATTTATGTGTATGCACGAATATATTTTAGCTCGTATATCGAAGCAGTATCAGTTGATGCACGCGCGTATATTAACGTCGAGTTGAAAGTACAAGGCAGAGCTGCAGCCAGACAGGCAGAGAACTGCGAAAGCAGAATAATCGCGCGCGGGCCCGCACAATCAAAGGCCGCACTGCTAATCGTGCAAGTCCAGCACGCTCCCGTGGCCTGGCACGAGTTGTAATCAGTAAAAAAAAAAAAAAAAAAGTACTCGAGCGACGCTCGGTCCGAAGATAATAAACAGGCGAAATTGAGCGAGCGACGCTCGGTCCGAAGCAAGCGAACAATAAGGCACTCGCGCGCACACTGACGACGAGAGGCGCTATCAATTAAAACTATCCGATCAACAAGAGCTGCAACATCGTATAGGTATACAACTCATCGTGTCCGATCGTCTCTCTTTCATTTGCACACTCGATCTCTCGGTCTTTCTCTTTTTCTCACTCTCTCTCTCGCTCTTTGGAGCGCCTGTCGACACACGAGCAGTCGAACACATGTGTCAGTGCGTGTATTACGCCAGCGAGCAGCCACGACTCGCATCTGCAGCTATAATAACGCTGCTGGCAGACTGGCCAAACACGAATCTGCCTCTTTCGCCAGGATCCGCAGTTTCAGGCGTCGGATCATGTTGGAAAAAAGGAGTCTCGGATTATTGGCGGCAGACGGGCGACGAGCGAGGAGATAAGGTATATATACAACTGGGGTACCGCCGCGAGTGCCTCGGAGCTGCTCCGTCCGACTCGATTGCGCCAGGCCTCGCAGCGAGTTCGAGCTCCGAGTGTGTATATTGTAATTTGTCGCTCCCTCTCGGCAGCGAGCGTCACCGCCGCCGCCACCACCACCGCCAACAGTCGATTCGCATGGCGCAGTATAGTCACTCTCGCGGAGAGGTACAGGATTTTTGCCTATGCTGTACGAGAGGTTAATGTGTATATCGTTGCCTGCCTGCGCTGCACTGTGCAGCCGAGCAGAGAAGAGCGACGGGATGGGACGGGAGTCGGGCGAGTCATAGCTGCCTCGTCGGTGATCTCACGCGCGCCACTGCATTATGCGCGTGCACAAACGTGCACAAGGCTCGCAGCTCTAGCTCATAGAGAGCTTATAATATATATATAAGCGCCTCAGCTGTTCCCCTCCGAGGCAGTCCCCGACTCCGCCGCACTACTCTCGATTCTCATGCATATCGCGCGCTAATGTATACGTAGGCTCGCTCGCTCGCGCTACAATGTCCATATAGAAACGTCCCCGCCGACAGCGAAGCGCATTATATATTGTTCATATTTATTATATGGAGGTGTCTTAGTTCTGGAGCGCGCGAGCCGCCAACAGATAAGAGAATTTGCATTAGCGCGCACAAAGCGAGACTCGGTAATTCGAGTCAAGATGAAGCGCGGAATAATCCGAGTCGTCTTCGTCGTCGTCGTCGTCGTTGACAGTCGCAACTCTACACTCGCGAGTAAATAATAAGCTCGTGCAACGTTCATTCTTGAATCCCGCCTCTTGCCACTTGCACGGGTCGTTTGCACGGCCTGCGCTCTTGTTGCTAACGGACGCTGCTAAATTACGTAAACATTGACTATTTGTCCGACGTCGTTATTGCGTCTGCGGGCTTCTATACGAGTACTCGCAGCTAATGTGTAACTTGTATTTTGAGCCCGGACCAAACGGGTATTTATGCTCCGATTTAATCTGGGCGCAGGGCGCGCTGCTCGTTCCTTTTCCGAACCGTGACTCATTGCAGCTAATAATCGTGTAAATAAATGTTCTCTTGTATTGATCGAACAGTCAGGGCATTCCAAGATCTTCTCGCTTTCCAAATGCTCCGAAAGTCGTTTTCGCGTGTCTATCGAAAGTAATCTGATTTCGATTGATCGGTAAAGTAATCTGGATTTATTTCAATTTATCTTCCGAACTAGCCATTCTATCAACTGCCTACGATTTCTCAATGATTCAAACGACCATGTGTACATTTGATCGAACAAATTCAATTTACATTTTTTAGGCAATGACGAACAGATACATGGGAAAATGAAATTATTCAATCCCCTTTTCACACAAATTCTGCTGAATATTTTTTCCGAAAGCTCGGTAAACATCAGTCTGAAGTCTATTGATAGGCGATATTTGTGATAAAAAACACAAAAACGCATAGAAAGATTTTCCATTATTCACACTGGCTTCGACATCATCTGTGTTTATGCTAACAGTCGGTGAAATCATATATTATTACAACTGGTCTCTTTATGTACTCGTGAGTAATATTAAAATCATCGAGTAGCTCACTGATTCCCTATTGACCCACTGTGCGTAATTTATGCGAGCGCGAACGAACGCGTATAGTGTTGTTCATGGGAGCATGAAACTGTCAACGGTTACGAACATATATATATTCACATGAGTTTGCACTGACTTTTTCATGTTCTCATAATTAATTTTCAAAAAAAGTTTAATCATTAAATAATACGTTTAAAAACTTTACAATTTTCTGTAATTTCACCTTTTGTACTAACATTCAATTTTTTCAACAACATTCAAACTACTACATGTTTCTAGAAGCCTAAAATTTTACTTAATTACCATAACTATAAAAATAGATATTGAGGAAAACACATTCATTTTCTATGTGAGTATACAATCATCGAGTTTATTTATTGCCCAAGCTTAAAACGTGAAAAAATGTAGAATTGCTTGCATCCATATAAATCAAGGTTTCGATCAATGTCAATGTTTAACGATGAATATATTCTTATTTCCATCTATTTACTCTAATTATTTTGCACAATGACAAATCATTGAAAAAATATGAATATTGTGAGAAATTACCACCAAATAAAGGTAATAAAATTGCGACATTGCTTTGTGTGCCTGTGCTTGGTTTTAAGATGACGCGAGCGCGTTAATAAACCTCATATAAGCTTGTAATATTTCTTTTTGAATGAATCATCGGTCGAACTGGCATGACAGGCGGGGTATATATGTATAAGCATTGACTGCGCACGTTTCACTGCTTTTACAATTTCGTTTTCTCTAAGTCGGTTTATGTTCGCTTCATGTCGATATTCGTCTTCATTTCCTGCCCAGCACTTCTGACTGTATGATACACAATATCTACGTTGTTTCGTGTTTTATGGCACGAGACGGCCTAAGAGTTAGCTTCGAATGATAAAATGTAAAAATAGCGCGATAAAGGATTTTTATCGAATTCTATGTTGCATTTTTATCGCCCTTCGGTTCTCCTTCGGTAGATTTTTTAAAATAAAATATTTAATGTACATGTTCTCACAGTTTTTAAATGACTTTTTATTAACAGTACATTAGCGGAGGTATCCATCCACTATGACACATAAAAAATAAATACCAATTTTCATTTTGTACAGTATTTAAAAGCTCGTCTTTATCGAATTGTAGAGCGCGAAAAATGTCATAATTAAACTAAAAAAAATGTACGAAAAATTACATCTAGAATGCCATAAGAATTCTATCATAAATATATAAAATAAATAAATTTTTATCAGTTGAAAATTTGAAATATTTCTTAGAATGAAAATAATCATAGTTACACCTAAAATAGTGGCAGCCGTTCACACAATTGAGTAATGTTGGTTGCGCGTTTAAAAGTTCATGTTTCATAAAGGTGAAAGAGATTTGACATTACGAGCGTCGACAATGCAGTTGGTTGCGTTACCGCTCGGGTTTTCGCGATCCGGCTCCTTCATTCACAACTTATGAAGTTGTAGAGTCTGAATAAAATTTTGCACATTCATACGATATAACTGAGATATAAAGAGGGAAGCTTATCTCTTGATTAATCTGTGAATGTACTTGCGAAATTTAATAAGATATTTTGGAAATAAAATTAAAACACGCAATAATAATGTTTGTATAAAAAATGTTATACTTTTCATAAACTTTTTAATTGATTTTTGCAATTATTCATATAATAGTAATCAATAAGATTTGAATTAATTGAACATTTTTGACGCACTCGATGCATCATCTTGACAAGTCCTCTCTTGACAAAGAAGACTACATTTGTAATCTCGATCGATGTCTTGAATTATACATATAAATTATTGTTTCTCTCCGTGTAATTCAAAATCCTCAAAGTAAAATTCGTATTTGATTCTGAATTGCTTATAAGACAAAGAGTTGATGTTACATATTTTAAAAGTGGATGCACGAATTATTTCTAAACTTGGAATTTATGGAATAATCTTGAATTATGTCTTATTCATTGCATTTCAAGGAAATGTCTTGAGCATATTGTCATATGATACAAAAAAGTATGTACATGCACGTAACAATTGTTTGAATCATCTCGTATACATTATTTTTGTTAAAAGACTCATTCATATTTTTTAATTATTTTCGGAATCACTGACTACTTTAAGAATCAAGCTTTTAAAAGTATAGGAAAAAATCCTTTCACGTACAACGCGAACAAAGGCAGCAAAAGGCATAAATTCATCCATTTAGGAAGTTGAATTTTATTTCTAGAACGAGTAAAAGCTCATAGAGCTTTTTCGTAAAAAAAAAGGCGATAGGTCGAGCACCGCTTTATGTTTGTGTTTATTCGGAGAGTGTCGAGCAGCCTCTCACTAGTCTGGCCTTGACGATTGTAAGCCACAGACCCGACGCGTCGTTATCATTTCGTGATTTCTCCCCCCGTACGAGGCAACGCTATGCAACTTTCGAGTATGTGTCGGTCTTTCGCTCATTTTGCGCGATACCGTTACCGTCTGAGAGTGAAAAAGCGCGTGTGCGTACACATATATCCCAATATTGGCTAACGCACACCTGAGCGACTCTCATAAAAGTGTATATCTTTGCAATCAGGACACGAGCGGAATTGATCTGCAGACCAGCCTATGCGATGCTACTCGGCACGAGCTGGCAGAAGTAGGAAGCCGCCGCGCGCCGATCGGAGCGATTCGCAGTCGCCGCAGTCGCTGTCATTCGCCTACTGTAGCGTGACTTATTTACAAAACACTGCGAGCCAGTGATATAGGCTGAGGGGTTCGAGCCTCCAGGGACAGTAGCTTGGAGGTGCGTCGACTGTCAGCATCGCCGGCTCTCGACTCATTCAGTGAACTCGACTCGTAGGCCAAGTGTGCGAACATCGCCATCAACATTCGCAGCCCAACGCTGCGACGCGTTTTTTTATTTTTGTTTTTCCGCAAGTTCCGCGAAAAAGCCAGGATGAGGATCGACCGGGGCTTCGTCAATGTGCTCATCCTCAGCTGGGGATTCATGCTCGTTTTCACGGCCTTCCAAACGATGGGCAATATCGAGGTAGGTGCCAAACAACTGCTTGCTATAATGCTGTGTAAATGAACGAAGGATGCATCTCGGGCCTGCTGCGCGCATATTGACCACTTGCACTTGGCGTCATTGTGAGGTTACCTCATTTTCCGCGCCACTCAACTATTTTGCCCCAGCTGTTACATGAAAAAAAGAAAAATAAAGAAACAAACTGCCTCAATGATGACATAGTCAGGAATTTTTCTGCTTTACGTGATTCGATAAAAAATTGACGCGTGCAACCAGATATTGGAGGAGTGTCAACAACAAAGATTATTTTTGACATTAAGTACTGATAAAGCGGAGGTTAGAAAATTGTTCGATTCTTATAAATGATAATTGCATTTTAAGTACGCCTCTGAAATTATCGACAAATTGTTTTATGACCGCTTTTCGGTAAATACTCAAAATTCACAATGCAGCAATTCAGCATTCCCACAAAATTTTGTTTTATTTGAACATAGGACGTATTACAAATGTAAAACTATTTAATAAAATTGTTTTGATCTGATAAAGATACAGCAAAATTAAACTGCGATAAACTTGTTTTTGAAAGTAAAACGATACGCCCGAAAATTTTTAGTCAAGAATTTTAAAATATCGATCTTTTTAATCCTTTTTCCTCCATTTATAAGAGCATAACCGAATCAAAAAATGCTGTAATTTAAACGAATTAAACAATAAAACAACACTATTTAACATTTATTTATCTTGTTCATTGTTTTGTTGCTTTTACACGAGCCAGTATCTAAAAATGAAAACAACTCGCTACGATGTACGTAGCAACTTTTAGCATGGAACAAGTTTCCTTTCATCCTTGAATGCGGAATGAAGATGAAATTCTCTTATTGCAAAAAGGAGCATATCAATGAAACGAATACAAAAATTTAAATTTAAATATATCCGATTGAATACGTAGCTCACTTTCCCTTTCCAGATAGAAAAATATTTTTACTGTATTTTAAATAATGTTTCGAAGTGTATACAGGGGTAAATTCGTTCTCGAAATTCTAGAGATTTTTGTGTTTCGTGTACGAAAATCATCATTTTTAGAAATATCTAGGGTTATTTGGAGTTCCGTAGACTAAAATGGAAAATTTCGAGTACGAATTTTCCCCTAAATAGCCGAACCCAATATATTTAGTTTAAATTAAACTTGCTTTTAACTTTATTATGATAAATCTTACACATATTTTAATGTTAATTAAACACTTGGATTGTATTTATTTCACTTTTGAATTTTAAATAATTAACATCGAAACGTTATAAAACGAATTCCAAAACAATTTTTTTCTTGCGAAAACAAGAAAATAAACAGGCTGAATTTTGGCAAAATCATAAAAATACGTCACGGACAGATATACATAAAGTAATATAAATATCTATACACTTTTAATGAGCTTTGATAAGAGTCTAAACAAATGAAATAGCTGAAAGTGATTCTATCTGTTAATGATCTATTGTGTTTCAAATTTTGTAAGCTTATCAAAAATCGAGCCCCCAGCGCGTATTCTACAAAACGTGGGTGTTAACGGCTGTAACTTTTTGGCGCATGACGAAACTTAGTATTTTGAAAAATACATCTATAAAAATTTTTAATACTGAACAGTTGTCAAATATAATTACTGGGTAAATGAGGTCAAATACAATTAATGTGACATTATTTATTCAACAATCATGATTGGAGAATTTCGACAATTAAGAACATTTAATATTTACAATGAAATAAATAGCTGATGTTTTCTGCGTTGGCCATGAACAGATTTTTGCCTTTTTTAACAACAAGTAATATAATCATTAAATATAAATATTTTCATAATTTTTAATAACAAGTAACGTGCGAAAGAAATACTTACAGATTACGAAAATCAAGCGATGCGTTCATTAGATTTAAAAAAATGTTATTCTTTTTAATGCGCAATTTTGAAATGTGGACTTACGAAGCTGTTTTTTATTTAACAGCTTATAAAGCTCAATTTTTTCTGGAATGGATAAAAATGTTTGTCTTTATTTTCATAGCAAAACGTACTGGACAGTATTTCAAAAGATGATCCGAATTTTAAAGGCAACGGTTACACAAGTTTAGCAATAATCTATGCCACATTTGCACTGTGTAATTGGTTGGCTCCATCGTTCATCTCAGTCACGGGTCCGCGAACGAGTATCGTAATAGGATGTTCCTGTTACGTCCTTTTTATAGCGTCGTTCTTGTATCCACGCACCGAGTTGCTGTACATTTTTTCAAGCATCGTCGGAGCTGGAGCCGCTTTGGCCTGGACGGGCCATGGCCTCTTCCTCACGGTTAATAGCGACGACGAGACCATGTCGCGGAACTCTGGCATGTTCTGGGCCATCTTCCAGTCATCTCTATTCATCGGCAACATCTTCGTCTACTTTGTTTTCAAGGAACCCGACATTCACGAAGATGTCCGAGGACTCGTTTTCAAAGTTCTCACCGGCGTCTCGGTGGCAGGTCTTCTGTTGCTGCTGGCTATGAGGCCGCCCATGCAAAAGAATAATCTTGGGCCTGCAGAAGGAATCTCAAGCAACGATAAAGAATTGCACATTCCAGAGGCTCCAAAAGAAAAGCCCTTGGTGGCCGCTTGGCACGCCCTTAGAGATGCATTTAGGCTGTTCTTCACGTCGAGGATGATGATGCTTACACTGACCTTCGTATATACGGGCCTGTCACTGACTTTTCTTTCCTCAGTTTATGCATCCAGCATTGGCTTCACCAAGTCAATGGGGCAAGATCGAAAAAGTCTTATAGGACTTCATGGAATTTGTGTGGGCATCGGAGAAGTGCTCGGTGGTGCCGTTTTCGGAATGCTTGCCTCAAAATGCGGAACCTGCTCAGGTTGGCCCGTAGTTGCTACCGGATTTGGCGTTCACGCATTCGCTTACGTTTCTGCTCTACTTAATCTGCCGAATGAAGCTCCATTCAAAGTAAGTATATATCATAAATAAAGTTTCGAGTACATCGATTGAAACTCGCATATAAACTGATCTATATCCAAGTTTTATTCGATGCAGCTATTATCTTTGTACTTGACCTGGATAAATATTTCTTCCTTTTTCTAAATAACGATACTATCGTTTCGGCACCTCTGATCGGCCATAAATGTTTCGTCCGTTCAAATACTTACAGTTTTATAAACCTTTTTGAGTGCATAATCGAATAATCTTACTTTATATCTTTAGTATCTTCGCAAAGTTTATTGGATTTAGCTACTGCAGATTAATAAAATAGTAAAAATGTTTAGACTTGTTGTGACAAGAAGCTTGATTATTATTTTTCGTAGAATGACGATTTTTTTAATGCACGCATGAAATTGATAATTCATGACTCCCAACTGATTATTCAAAATATTACTGATTTGTTGTTTCAAATAGCTGCAAGTATTTGAGTCTTTAAAGCAAATGATACAAGAAGTTATTCAATAGTAGTGTGAATTTCGTAATTTTATCTGGTGTAATGTTCGTACGAATGAATGAATTACAAGTTTTGGGGATAACATTTACGTAATGGTGAAAGTCATTTTTATATTTATGATTAAATATCGCTGTCTCAACAGATACATGTAGTAAAGATTGAGTGATAATTGTAATGAAATCACAATACAACATAAAAAAAAAAAATAAATCAAGGACTTGTATTGAATAAACTTAAATTATGCAATAACCCAGCTGACTAAATGTAAATCATCAGTTACTATTCGCCACGAGCATGACACGAAGAAAGTGGTTTGCCTCGACATCGTATCAAATAAAATATTATCCTTCTAACAATATAATTTAATAATAAAATTATTATTATTCGTGATAAAATATCAATTGATTGTTAATTTTTATTTTTTATAATTTCTATCGAAATTGTTGAACAGGTTTTATCAGTTTCGATTGTAATTTTATCACTATTATGATAATGTATAATCGATGTCACGATCGAGATCCACATCGTCTCTTGAGTAAGCATTGTATCATTTGTCTGATTGCGCATTGGCGTCATCAATAAGTAGCACCATGACCTCTTTAAATTTTTACTTAAAAATGCAGAATATATGCCCCAATATAAATATACATATCCATATTTTCAATCAACGAATTCTAATAAAAGTTATCATTTTTTTACAACAGGAAACAGATGAAATAGGTCTGATTAATGCATCACCTGCCCTAGCCATGATTGGTAGTCTAAGTCTTGGTCTTGGAGATGCCTGCTTCAACACTCAAGTTTATGCATTGCTTGGTACCGCTTATTCTTCAAAAAGTGCCTCTGCTTTTGCATTATTCAAATTTTGTCAATCGGTTGCTGCGGCACTGAGCTTTTCTTATAGTAGTCATCTTGGTTTACATGGCCAATTGGCCATTCTGGCGGTTTCTTTGGTTTTGGGTACCGTTGCATTTTGTGTCGTTGAAATAAAACATCGTATATCGAAGCGAGTTCGTTCGAATTCTTGTCCGGATATTGATGTTCACGGTAATGGGCATACCGTGTATACCGATTGAAATTTTATTTATACTATTTCTAAAATATTATTGTACAGGTTCACGTAATCTGAATGCATTCATTTGAATACATTGTTCGTTAATTCATAAACTAATTGCTTTAATTATTGTTTTGTTTAATATGGGTTTTCCCATACATACAATTTACGAACCCACGTTGAATTTACCGTTGCATTTTGAATATATTATAAAGTTTATTTTTATGAGCTAAATTCAAAATATTTTGTGTATTACATATCAATTATATTTAAATTTTTTTATGGCTAAACTAACACTTGTAAAAAATAATGTGTACATATATAATTTATTTATAAGTTGAATTATGTCAGCTCAAATTCATTTAGCATCGTAAACGTACTATACTTATAATTCGTTTTTAGTGTATCGTTATTGTTGTAAAATTTTATACTTTTTATGCTAAATATAAATTGAAAAAATTTTTTTAGAGTTGATAATGGTTTAATAACTCACATCGTGCAATAAATTTTATACCATTAATGAGCCACTTTTGTACCTATGGAAAATTGTTTATATTTTGTAAAAAAATTTTATTATAAGAGTCTAAGCATTAGTTATAAGATTCCGTCTAGTATATTTATAAAACTATGATTTTTAGTTAAGTAATTTTATTAAATATTGTCAATTGATATTATAATTCAAGTCTCATTTGATAATATACTATAAGATATCCTAAGATATTATGAGATAATAAATGTATCATATATTATGATACTCTGTACTCAAATGTGCCAATCAGCAAAGTAAATTTTTCTACATTGTGAACTTTTGACAATTTATAAATGATCATTTTAGCATGGTTGAATCAAAAAATTCAATTTTTAGGTCGACGATATAATATTCATTTTTTATTTAATTATACTTTCAATACTACTATTTCTCATGAAAAAATCTTTTGTCAAACAATTTTATGTATATTAGTTATTCATCATAACGGTGCTAATACTTTTACGTTCAAAAATTATAATTGTCAATAAGTTAATTTATCAAATTTTTATTCAGTAAAAGGATTTATTTTATATTGATTACATGTTTTCATTTTTCTCTCAATGTGGTACCATAAAATATTCAATTAAAGATTAAAAAAATTTTTAAAATCAAGAATTCGAAATTTTTTATTAATTAGACAATATTTATTGATACTCGAGCTAATTGATACAATTTAATATGATAAATTTAAAAAATATTATGAATTCCAGCGCGTTTTCACATAATTTTTCTGCTATACCTTAAACGTGATATAAATTTGCATTAAGTTATTTCGAATTTTAAGTTTAAAATAGTAAAAACTAAACTTACGAATACGATCAATGACTATAGTGATCATTCTCACTATATCCCACTTTTTTTAAACGTTATTTTACTGCAATAATAAGGATTTTAAAGAGATTTTCAATATCATCAGTCGGTACTTCTTAAGTGTTACATTATTTAATCTACAGATGCCGCAGAATGATAGAATATGCTTTATCGAAAATTAATGCCAGCAGCGCTATGGCAATGTATACCAAATATGATGCCAATTAAAGCTTACTAAACTAAAAAAAAAACATTATCGAAAATTATCGCAATACAGAGTCATTAAATGAGTTTTAATTATTTGTAAATAAATTTAAATATTTGTAAATTAATTTATGATTAACCACTGTAAGCAAGTGAAAAGAAAATCATCTCGCAACATAATTTTCGCGTTCAAAATAAGCGCGTTACATAAAAATAAATTATATGGTCCATTATGTCAAAAGTGTGATATTTGGAGAGGGTAAAAGAATATTGGAAAACCTCAAAAACTTATTTTCTTCTATCTTGAGTTCAACTTTTCCGGACTCCTGTAGTTTCTGACACTTGATTCTTTGTTTTTTTATGGAATATTTACTGTTTATCGCCTATCATCTAATGCGTTTATTTTCTTGTTACAAACATGAAAATTTGTCACGGGGGAGACAAATCGCACTTTTATCAAGTTTTTACGACGACAACAAAGTTGACATTTTTTTCCGATAACCCACAAAAATTATTTGTAAAAATAATTTTTTATGCCAACAGAGTCAAAAACAAAAAGTGCTCGAAAATTCGTCGATCACGGAGGAGACACGTTTTATTTTACTATTAGGATTTTGGTGTGCTACTATTGTTATAGCGAAGCTGCAATCAAGATTTGAATATTCTACGGGTAAAAATTGAATACCTTAGTTCTGAAAGATGACCCTCTTATAGTTAGAGGTCAAAATGACAGTCTAACGCACGAATGTCAAAATACACGTTTACTGGCCCTATATTTTATATGATGTAAAATTTCACGTAATTTAAGAACACATTTTTTATCCATGTACAATTGTTTTTAGACTATTTAAGATGACGAGTAATGCAAAAAAACTTGATTTAGGATGTCTAGATTAGGGTCCATGTACTACAATATTGCTGGATATTTGTAAAAATGTGTTTAATGAGTGAAAACAATAGATTCTGAGTTCAGGACAGGTCACAAAGGGGACATTTTGCATGTTTATGCGGCTGACAAATCAATGTAGTCGTAATTTATGGAAATTTTATAGTTGCGAAAGGTAGAATTCTGTTAAATGAAAGGTTCTACCGTTTTAGTTTTCATTTTTTTAAAGTTTTTCAATAACTATGATAACAAGACATGCCCTATCACGCTTTTGAAATAATACACCATAAACATATAAAAAAAAGAATTTTCAAATATTTTATTTTTGTGTCATTTGTATATAAATTATTTTACCAAATTATTAAAATTCTGTTTTTTCAATGTGTTTGGTGAAATACTAGTTATTTACTACAGTTGCCATGTAGATTTTCTTCATACCAATCAATTAAATCTGAGTTGTAGCTGGGCACTAAGTGACTTCAATTTTCTTTTAAGTTTAGCGAACTTTTATGACAGCTTGCACGAAAAACATTAAATAGGCGATTATTGAATGAAAATAAGAAAATTTCAAATCCTGAGTAATAAATAAATGTTAATCTATGGATGGGAGATTTTTTGGACGGTGTCAATCTCAACTCACACTGATACAGATGGAACTGCCCAACCTGCTCTCCTGGTAGTGTCTTCAAAGCTCTATTTGTTTAATCGACATATGATGTCACAAGTTGATGTTTTCTAATGCATGCTCAAGTCTAAATTTATACAACTTTTAGAAAATGAATTACAATCTATCAGCTTAAAAAGTGGTACGTGCCAAATCAATGTCTATAGACCACGTTAAAACATTGAATGGTATTAATCAAAAATATTCTTGAATGAGACAATGGAAAAAAATGTTTGGTCTAAAAGCCTTATTTAATCAAGATTTCAATAAATTGCATAAAAATGTATGACTGTAGGTTTATGGACTCTGGGTCTTAGATTCAATAATTACTTTTATTTCAAAGTTTTGTTTCAAACAAAAAAAATTTCTCATTTCAAATGATCAAATACGCAGATAATTTTTAGGAAAAAAATCGCGTTTGATGAATCGTGAGTGAATTCATAGCAGTTTTTCAATTATAGATTGAGATTCAATGCTGCCGTTGTTTTTTCTATATGCTTTCTTATGTAGATGGTCTGAAAAAATATTCTTGGCAGCTACGCGCAATTTTTTAGGCCCTTCAGATAAACATGGCGATCGGTGGTGCTCTCACTCGTGCACCTGGCCTATATGAGAAAATAACTGCTGTATATCCCAAATTATCCACAGTTTTTTTTAAATTTATGAAATAGGTAGATATGTAAGGTGCAAATTGCACGTTTCATGTCGATACAGATATCTGGGCTGCGTAAAATGAACGAACATCTATTTCTTTGTATATAGATTATATAGAGTCATGTCTAGAGCAGTGGTCTGAGTCCAATCGTGAAAGAAAATAGTACCTATGTCACTGTACAATATGTGGTATTCACTCTGAAGTCTGAGCGTTGGGGACTGGGGCAGAGCTTAGAGTGGCGCTGCAGTCACCATTTACACGCAATCTTACGGAAAAACAGGATGGAAAAAATGCCAGCGTCGGCCGCTCGAACTAAATTTTTTCTTAATATGAGAATTAACATAAGAAAGCGCCATATTGCTCGGAGCTAATACCTAAAGCGATTATATAAATATAAATACACAAACAGTCGAAAGCGCCATCTGGTTTCTTTCATTGTAACCCCATTAAGCTGCGTAGTAAACACGCGACTAATTAAAAAATCATATGCCTAATCGGTACTAAAATCATTAGAGTGCTGAACACATTCCGTTCGGTTAGAGAGTAGTATCGCGCCTTTGTTACAAATCAATTGTTTGAAGTATTGTTGAAGTAAAATAAATGATAAGTATGTTCAGTTCCAATTATCATATGAGCTTGAAGCCCATCAATCGATCTTCCTTTTCGCGCTATCAAAGTGAGCACAATGAGCAACTGTGATTTTTGCATCAAAACAGATTGCAGTGAGACGCTCTAGTGAACAGACGTATCACTTCCTGTATTGTTTTTACTTCACACATATTTCTTAATCTTCATAAATTCAATTTTCTTTAAACAATAGTGATTGCTCACCATTACTACATAACGATAAGAATAATTATTAAAATAGTTTGGAGATTTTTTGAAGGTGCGCGATCACGTAAATACACGTCAGATGAAGCAAATCAGGTTTGTACTACTTAATTATTTCTACCTTCTACCTTCATATACATCTACCAGTATAGAGTTGCATCCAGTTTTTCTTTGTTAAGACAAATATAAAAAGTGGCTCCTTAGTATGGGCCTTTTATTCAATAATACTCATAGTAAGCTGCCACCTTAAGTTTATGGAAAATACATAAACACAAGGTTACAAATTTAGAACACAGATATCAATAAATTTCATAAAAAAGTTTAATTATTTTGTTGATAAAAGCTGGCGTAAGGATAGTATTGGAAAGTAATGTAAGCTTATGGTAGGGGTAAACATGACCGTCGTAATCGACGAACCAACTTTGTGTAAAGTCGGGTGTGGGAAATGGCCACCAGTTCAAGTCTAGGGACATTTTGGTGCAGACAATGTAGTAAAACAAGAACCAAACTTAAATTCTTTACAATTTTAGAATTATCGTGACGATAATTCATGATTTATAAACATTTTATGCTTTATAAACATAAAATTATTGATACAATAACATAAATAATCTAAAAATCCCACAGAATTAAAGAATGGCGCGTCTATTATCAGACATTCTGTTACACTAAATCACTAGATTTCGACTCGTCGATATTTTCTACACCCAACTTTACACAAGGCTGCAAAAATCTCCTATACTAAAAGCATTGAATCCCCAGTTACAACGGCCATGTTTTTCCCCCACCTTAGGTTTATGTTACTTCTCAATATTATCGAAGTAAGTGAATTATCGGGGAGTGTTTTACGCTCGAGCGTAGTGAGAATTGCCTTAAGCTATAGTACCCAGCATAACAACCCTTTCGACGCTTTTTATCACCTACCGCTTAGTCGCTTCTCTAAATATTGCTAGAGATTCGGGGGTCTAGCAGGGGAACGCAATACGACGCGAGGGGCTCCTAGTTCATGATGTTGAATAGTCAGAACTACCAACTTCGAAATAAATAAATTTTATAGCATTTTTCCTGAACCCGCATACAATTACAGACATCAATCCTTTAACGCCTAAACTTGACCATTTTTCGACAAAATTTTCAGTGGTGTGTATTTCTAACGTAAAATTTTATGTACTTTCAGAATCCGGTATCAGAATTGTCGAAAACCGTACTAAGAAAAAATAATAAACAATTTTTTGCAAAAAAACGTGACTTTTAGAAAAAGTTTATTCATTCAACTCCAATTTTAATGTGAAAAGAAAATTCCCTCGAGCGTCTAACGCATACCTATAGATTTGGTCAATGGCATGTATATTTTATTGTAAAATAGTGATAATTACGAAATTAAATATGGCGGTCATCCAAACAACCTCTTTTCCACCAAACTTATCTATTTCTAGATTTTTTTTCTCGATCAGGATTGACTTGGCGAAAAAAAGTTATAGAACTAAAAGTGCCTAGAATTGATCAAAAGAAATCAAAGAACATGTGTGAATTTTTTCAGAATTTTTCGACCCACTTTAGGATTTTTGAATGTAGCAATATTGTGGCCATATAATATGGCCACATCATACATCATATGGCCATATGCAAAAATCCCAAAGTGGCTACAAAAATTCTGAAAAAATTCACACGTGTTCTTTGATTTCTTTTGATCAATTCTAGGCACTTTTAGTTCTATAACTTTTCCTGATCGAGAAAAAAACCGCTGCCAATTTATTGACAAGGAGCTTCCTCAAAAAAATCATATCAATGAAAGGGTTTGGTTATTAAAGGGAAAATTCGTACTTCATTTGTGAATTTTGAATTCCATTTTCATATTTGTATACGAAACTCAAAAAAAAACTTAAAAATTTCTGGAATTTCGTGTAAAATTCCCTTCTATCTATTTACCTATTTTTTCCAAAAAAAAACCAGTTTACAACACGATACAAAAAAGCATAACTTTTTATATACTCGGTGGATAATAAAATAAGTTTTTGACGCTTCTTACTATATGCACCATGAAATTCGGTTTCAGCAGCCCAAAATACGTAAGAAAAACATTGGTGCACCCATCAAAGAACACGTGACCACGGTAGGCCCACTGGCCCCTAGACTAAATACTTTAACCACACTTGCTTAAATTCAATCGAAAGATCTACAATCTACCTTGACCGACCATGATCCATAGTAGGAGTGTGCGATTACCCGAAAAAACTCGACTACATCGAGTTTTCTTTTGAGTTCCCCATTAAAAAAAAAAAAAACATCCATTCGATGATTCATGACCGAGTTAATTTGTAGAAGCAGCCTAGTAAATTGTAGTTGCAGTGTCTCTGTATTATTTCTACTTTCTCTTGTGTACTCACCGCCTGAAGTGAGAGTCTAGCAAAGTAGGGGCGTTACCTAGGCTTAGCCATCTGCTACTGACATTATCGCATTGTCATAAGCACGAACGGCTTTCGCTACGCCAGATTTACGTTTTCTAATTATTACCGAATTCAATATGACTCTGACTGTACATAGCTACTTACTTTGATTTCTTCTAGCTTCACCTACGAGTTTTTAATTCTTTATTGACTCTGAGCGACACTTTTGGGCGGAGCTTAGAGTGGCACGGCAGTCACCATTTACACGTAATCTTATGGAAAAACGTCCTGAAAAAACGCCAGTGTCGGACGCTCAATCTAAATTTTTTCTTATGAGAATTAACATGAGA